AGGTGGCTGTGTGTGAGGATGGCAGATTAGTAGGCAACAGTGCATGGAACTTGGTTCGAAGTTTCCGGCTCATTGGGGCTTCATCAGGAGAGACGCTGGGTTGGGGTGGTCCTGTAGGAAAACAGGAACAGGAATAGTATCTCGCCCGTAGTCCCCTTCACCGAGCTTTAAATAGGGCTTGTTGGAATGTGTCGACGAAACGTTCCGCCTGACCGATAGATTGGAGATAGTAGAGCGGGAAACGAGGGTACTGGATGTGTTGTCGGCGGCAGAAATCCTCAAAGGTCGATGGGGTAACTTAGGAGCCATTATCGGACACCAGAACATCCGGTAGGCCATGTTGGCCGAAGATGCCCCGTAGGAAGTTGATAGTGGCAGAGGTGGTTGCAGGATTCAGCGGTGCAATTTCGGGCCACTTTGAGCAGGCTTCGACCACGACTAGCTAAGTGATTCCATCGATTATGCCAGCGAAATCGATGTTCACACGTGACCAAGGCCTATCCGGAGTTTGCCATTGTACTGGCGGTTGACGAGCAGACATTTTTGCAGCTTCTTGACAACGGGAACATCGCCGAACGAGATCGTCGCTGTCGCTGTCGATACTCGGCCAATAGGTAAAACTGCGAGCAATGGAATTCATTCGACTGGTACTAGGATGAACAGCATGAAACTGGCGTAGCACAACGGGTCGAAGTGAAGGAGGAATCACCAAACGGTCTGCAAACATGAGGCAGTAATCAACCACAGACAGCGATGCTCGATGCAGGAAGAGCTGATGAAGATCGCTAGTGAGAGCAGTGGCTGGGCAACTGGTTTGCACATAGGTGATAGCTTGACGGAGAACTGGATCCTGTTCGGTAGCGTGTCGGAGGTCGGCGGCAGTTACAGGTATGCCGCGTCCGAAAGCTGACGGCGCACATCGTCCTCTCGAAATGGCAGCTATCACCGTATCTTCCTCAGTTTCTTGATGCTTGCTAATGAAGCGGAAAAGGGAGTCAGCCTGGCCAAAGTCGATAGTGCGATAGTAGCGGATATCAAAATCTTAACCGAGAAGAATGGTTGCTCATCGTTGAAGTCGGCTGGCTGAATAGGCTGGAATGCCCTTCGAACCGAAGATTGACATCAACGGTTTATAGTCGGTCACCAGCGTGAAATGAAAACCGTACAGCAGCTTGTGGAACTTCTTGACGGCAAATAGGATGGATAGTGCTTCTTTTTCGATTTGGTCATAGTTCTTCTCAACAGACGTGAACGTTCGGGATGCGTGCATGATCGCCCTTTCGGACCTGTCGGAAAAATTGGCCGAAATGACGGTACCAATGCCATGATTGGCGGTGTCTGTAGTGACGACGATCGGCAATGTCGGGTCATAATGCGTAAGCAGCAGATCTGAACGCAGCATCGACTTCAGCTCGACAAAGGCCTTTTCACTGTCG